GGCGCGGACGCGAAGACGACTGTAACGTGGATTTAATCTTCGACATATCGTGGCGCTAGGAGGAATTTTTTTCAAGTTTGACTCAAGCTCTCTACGTAAGTGCAATTCAATTACACAACCGACCAATCATCTTGCCAGATTTTCACAAAAAATCGCTGGGGGTGGGAGGGGATTGAGATCGGGCAGTCAAAAAAATCTCAGGCCAAACATGATCCCCTTTGGGGGCCCTCTAGGGCGTGAACTAAAGGTCCCATATCCGCGGTAATGCACAACCATAAACTGAAATTCGCCTGCGTCACGTTTGAGTGGATGGCTTGTAAGAAGTCCTGCAGAAAAGAACTTGAAACTTCTCCCAATCTCTGAGCTCTGAACATCCAGATAGCCTCCGAGAGTCATCGTGGGTGTCAAAAAGACCCAAAACGACTCAATGCGTTCATATTATGGTCGAATGCAAAGCGCATCTCGAGTGGAGTGATCAGAACAATCCTTCCAATTAAGGAAAGAAATCCAGATTCTTTATTTCAATATTAAGCGATAAAAGCATGTACAAATCAGGACAGGTCACGGAGGCAGGCAAGATCATTCTACCATTGTCAGAGCAGTCCCTTCTGTCATTGGCTAAAAGGTCTACAACAGCCAATAGGAAGGCGAGACCAGCTTTAAGAGATCAGAATTACTGAAGTCAAGGATTGACTAGAGTTATTGCCCTTTTAAACACCAGTAAACAAAAACGCGTTTCAGAGAGAACGATCAATAAATAAATGCAAACAGAGGGAAAAAAGCCAGTAAGTAGATAGAAATTTACGATCGATCAGTAGAATCAATCTGACAAGAAGGCGACATGGAAGACTAGACGATACCAATTGAGAGACGGAACAAGTGAAACGGGGTTTGAAACAATCATACGAATACTTCGATTCAGTAATGAAATAGATACATATTGATTGGTTGGCAATTTGTTAACCGGTGCCGCCATTACTGTCATAATCGATTCAGTTGCGAGCCAGGTGTTGCGAACGGTGGAATCTGAAATATCAATTGCA